ATCATTGGCACTCTACAGTATATATGAGTAGCTCTTTGTATACATATTGTTTATGTATATTTGTGTGTGTTTGTATTTGTATGAGGGACTTCTGAGACCGCCGGTCCCTTCCAGCTACACGCTCATGGCAAGAGGACGCTTTTGATGTGAGAATGTAAGCTTGCTACAAAAAAGTGCTTGAAGAGAAACCAGACTTGCATTGAAATTCTCTCGCTGTTTAACATGATAACATACTGCAAAACACTCGCTCCCACACTGTGCATGAGCACTTTATACAAATAAAGTGAATATGCGCACCCACATCTGAAAGAACCTTTAGGGTACATCGCTTTGAATAGATCCCATTTCAGATTATTCATGTTAACTCTTCTCGTACTAGAAACGTCCTGAATACAAATCAAACTTTTTGAATGCTCACATCCACATAACCCTCCCACAACCAGAGGGATATGCAACTCTGTTTACCTCTTAAAGTATTATTAAAGCACAATTCAATCTTCTAAAAGTAATTACATGACAGAGATGGCAGGTGTAAGAGAAGAACAGCACGAGGGTAATTTAATTCCAACACAAAGCACTGAAACATAAACCTGCTCAAAGATATTCTGCAACAATATTTACTCTCTTGTCTATTTTTATCCATAACCTCTAAACCACATTAAGCATGAACGTTCAAAGCAGAAAGAGGACCAGAAAAAAAATTCTGAATGCGTTTCCCATATGTATTTTTCTTTCTTTTTTTTCCACTATAAAAAAGGCTATATAAAGCACAGACCTCAAGAATATCATTTCCAATCGCTGTGGGACTTGTGCACAATGGATGTCCTTGTTTAAATGTGTGTGTATGGGCGCGCTAGGGAGTCAGAGACAGAACTCAGGCTGACAGAGCAATCTGTCCCATGGTCTATCTCAGATCTTCTGTAATCCATTTTAAATGTGTAGGCTCATGCAGTATGTCGAGACACACAGAAAGAGAGAGAGACTCTGCTACCTGAACACACTGAATCCAATTACACTAAAGGGGATTCCTCAAAATTGTCTGCTCTCACAGGTCAAATGTCAGCGCTTATCCAGTAAGCGAGAGGGTAATGCTAACTGAATGGGTTAACTGTCAAAATAAGGCCAACCTGACCCCCAACTTTTCCTACGTTCGACTCACTAGTAACATACAGAAGGATTCAAACACAATGGCTCTGCTCTATAATCTAGTGAGCATTCTTTTTATTTTCCCATAAACTTAACATAAACATAATTTATTCAATATTTCATATACATATTTATTCATAGAATTCTTTATTATAATTATAAATGTATCAATTAATATATATGCACATTTATGCATAGTCAGAATGACAGAGAGACAGACTGACTGACTCACTGACTGACAGACAGACAGACTGACTGACTGACTGACTCACTCACTCACTGACTGACAGACAGACAGACAGACAGACAGACAGACAGACTGACTCACTGACTAACTGACTGACTGACAGA